AGAAGCTTCCATGGAATTCCAGAAGCTTCCAAATGTGGGACCGAGACCTTCCATGGGGATCCAGAACCTTCCAGAAGGACCCAGAACCTTCTAGAAAGGACCACGGGACTCTTCCTGTGTCTTGGACATTCCAGAAGGTTCCAGAACCTTCCTGATGGGACCCAGAAGCTTCCAGAAGGGACCAAAGCCCTTCCTGAGCATCCAGAACTTTCCAGAAGGATCCAGGGCCATTCCTGAAGGACATTCCATGGAATTCCAGAACCTTCTATGAGGTTTCAGAACTTCCAGGACTTTCCACAGGGATCCAAAAATTCCAGAATTTTTTATGGATTTCAGAACTTCCAGAACATTCCATGGAATTCTAGAAGCTTCCAGAAGAACCGAGAACCTCCCAAAGAGGACCAAGAACCTTCCAGAAGGAACTGAGACTATCCCAATGGATCCAGAACATTCCATGGAATTCCAGAACCTTCCATAAGGGATCAGGACCTTCATGGTGGGACCCAGAACGTTCCATGGAATTCCAGAAGCTTCTGAAGAAGACCAAGGCCATTCCTGAGGGACCCAGAAGCTTCCATGAAGTTCCAGAAGCTTCCAAAGGGGACCAAACCCCCCTCTTGTGGCTCCAGAACATTCCATGGAATTCCAGAAGCTTCCAGAAGAACCGAGAACCTCCCAAAAGGGACCGAGAACCTTCCAGAAGGAACCCAGAACTTCCCAGATGGAACGGAGACAATCCCAATGGAATTCCAGAAGCTTCCAGAAGGATCCAGAACCTTCCAAAGAGGACCAAGAGCCTTTCAGGAGATCCAGAACATTCCAGAAGGTTCCATAAGGGACCAAAGCCCTTCCTGAGCATCCAGAACCTTCCAGAAGGATCCAAAGCCATTCCTGAAGGACCCAGAAGCTTCCATGGAATTCCAGAACCTTCCAAAGGGGACCAAAACCCTCTCTTGTGGCTCCAGAACATTCCATGGAATTCCAGAAGCTTCCAGAAGAACCGAGAACCTCCCAAAAGGGACCGAGAGACCTTTCAGGAGATCCAGAACATTCCAGAAGGATCCAGAACTTCCTCATGGGATTCCAAAACCTTCCAGAACTTTCCAGAGATCCAAAACTTCTCATGGAATTCCAGAACTTTCCAGATGTTTCCAGGGGCTTCCACTGAGGATCCAGAACTTTCCATGGAATTTCAGAACTTCCAGAACTTTCCACAGGGATCAAAAAAATTCCAGAATTTTCTATGGAATTCCAGAACCTTCCAGATGTTTCCAGGTGCTTCCACTGAGGATCCAGAACCTTCCAGAANCTGGGAGCTCTCCTGAAGATCCAGAAGGTTCCAGAAGGATCCAAAACCTTCCTGGTGGCACCGGGAGCTCCTGAGGGATCCAGAACCTTCCGTGGAGATCCAGAACCTTCCAGAAGGATCCAAGACCCTCCTGATGGGACCCAGAAGCTTCCAGAACTTTCCAGAAGGATCCAAGGCCAATCCTGAAGGACCCAGAAGCTTCCATGGAATTCCAGAAGCTTCCAAATGTGGGACTGAGACCTTTCATGGGGATCCAGAACATTCCATGGAATTCCAGAAGCTTCCAGAAGAACCAAGAACCTTCCAGAAGGAACCCAGAACTTCCCAGATGGAACGGAGACAATCGCAATGGAATTCCAGAAGGATCCGAGAACCTCCCAAAGGGGACCAAGAGGCCTTTCAGGAGATCGAGAACATTCCAGAAGCTTCCAGAAGGTTCCATAAGGGACCAAAGCCCTTCCTGTGGCTCCAGAACATTCCAGAAAGACCCAAGACCTTCATGGTGGGACCCAGAAGCTTCCATGAAGTTCCAGAACCTTCCAAAGGGGACCAAGAACCTTCCAGAAGGAACCCAGAACTTCCCAGATGGAACGGAGACAATCCCAATGGAATTCCAGAAGGATCCAGAAGCTTCCAAAGGAGACCGAGAGCCTTTCAGGAGATCCAGAACATTCCAGAAGCTTCCAGAAGGGACCAAAGCCCTTCCTGTGGCTCCAGAACTTTCCAGAAGGACCCAAGACCTTCATGGTGGGACCCAGAAGCTTCCATAGAATTCCAGAAGCTTCCAAATATGGGACCGAGACCTTCCATGGGGATCCAGAACCTTCCAGAAGGACCCAGAACCTTCTAGAAAGGACCATGGGACTCTTCCTGTGTCTTGGACAGTCCAGAAGGTTCCAGAAGCTTCCTGATGGGACCCAGAAGGTTCCAGAAGGGACCAAAGCCCTTCCTGAACATCCAGAAGGATCCAGAAGCTTCCATGAAGTTCCAGAAGCTTCCATAAGGGACCAGGACCTTCATGGTGGGACCCAGAACATTCCATGGAATTCCAGAAGCTTCTGAAAAGAACCAAGGCCATTCCTGAAGGACCCAGAAGCTTCCATGGAATTCCAGAACCTTCCAAAGGGGACCAAAACCCCCTCCTGTGGCTCCAGAACATTCCATGGAATTCCAGAAGCTTCCAGAAGAACCGAGAACCTCCCAAAAGGGACCAAGAACCTTCCAGAAGGAACCCAGAAGCTTCCCAGATGGAACGGAGACAATCCCAATGGAATTCCAGAAGCTTCCAGAAGGATCCAGAACCTTCCAAAGGAGACCAAGAGCCTTCCAGGAGATCCAGAACATTCCAGAAGCTTCCAGAAGGGACCAAAGCCCTTCCTGAGCATCCAGAACTTTCCAGAAGGACCCAAGACCTTCATGGTGGGACCCAGAAGCTTCCATGGAATTCCAGAAGCTTCCAAATGTGGGACCGAGACCTTCCATGGGGATCCAGAACCTTCCAGAAGGACCCAGAACCTTCTAGA